AGAGAGAGAGAGAGAGAGAGAGAGAAAATAAATTTTTTGTTTGTTTTCTGTAAAAATTCACTGTGATGGAAACAGCCTGATAAAGAGTACCTGCAAGGGGAAAAGGGAGGCTTATCTTCTCCAGGTCAATAGGCGGTAAAGTATAACAAGATGATAGGACCAATTTTTTTACACACATATCAGAGCATAAACACCCAAATGAAGGCTGCACTTCAGTTACTTTCCAATCCTAAACACATACACATGCCTTTACGGGCTGTCCCTTTTGGAACTGCCAGTCCTGCAAGACAACTCTCATTACTTTAATGGGCATACTTCCTATTACAACTTTGACTCCCCACCTCAGACGCCACAGTTGGCCCCACACCGAGGTTGGCTCTTTCCCAACTGAGGAAGGTTTGCCATCAGGAGGCAATTCAGTTAAATGAATTGCAAACTCTAAAGGCAGCTCCAAAGCACGAGTTCCACAATTATTCTCAGCAGTGACAGCATCACAGCTTGCCAAGATGAGGCTTCTGAAGGGAAGAAATACTCACTTGAATGTATAAATACCAGCATATTTATTTTAACATTTGGATAAAGAATTGGAAGAATCAGCTGGATTTATGTCCAAGTGAATAAATATGCTGCGGCAATAATGATAATGCAGATTTTGTGCAAGGTTTTGACCACCTTCTTAATGAAAAGAAGCTTGTCTTGAAATGATACTTGTAAAATGCATAAATCGCTTTCCTGTTAACTTGCATAATTATTGAAGATTTCCTTTTCATGAAGAAAAACAAACAAACAAAAAATGGCCCAACGAATGCTAGTTGCCAACATAGTCCTTGATCATCCCAGGAAGCTCAAATCTCAGTGTCTGTCAGAAGATGGACCTATATCCAGAGCACTGAAAGAAAGGAGTAGGGAGCAGCTCTCTTCCCTTGGCTGCACAAAGCCCAGGAACCTTCCAAGAGACAAATCCACTAACAGAATCCCGAGCCCTGGGTCTTCCTGAATTAGCGTTACACCAAATAAATTAATTACATAAATGGAGCCTGCACCAAAGACAAACAACAAAAACAATCTGACACTGCACTGGTCACTTGTTTATCTTTAGACACACACTTGGATACCCATCCACTGAGGTCCTATGCAACCTCGCTCCCTGTGAGGTGACCTAGCCAAGGGTACAGCAGCATAGGGGTGGTTACAGACCGTGGACATCTTAATAGGGCAAAGGCAGTCCACCTTCCAAGTAGGTAACTTCCTATTGACTTCAGTAAGGAAGACTTCAATCAACACGAAGAATCCAAACACTGTACAATACTCCGCGTGTTTACTTTGCTGAGGAATGCAGTGCATTTGTGGGCGGGTGTGTGTGTGTGTGTGTGTGTGTGTGTGTGTGTGTGTGTGTGTGTGGCGCACTGCTGAATTTCCTCCAGATTTTAGTTTACAACAGCCTCTCACAGAGTACAGGAGAGTGGGGTGCAAGTAGCACATGGAGATCTAAAAATTACACACACTTCATTATGAGTTATGCCTAAGGCACACACACAGGTAGATCTTACCTATACATTTTAAATCTCCCTCCATAACTACTATTTTAAGCCCAGGCTCTGCTCATTGTGTCCCTGACCAAAATCACTTCTCACCCAGCTCAACAATACAGGATGCAACAAAGAGCCAGTCCGGGACCCTGATCTCCTCCTTGTCAGTCGGTGCCTGGGGGACCACAGCTGCCTTCGGTTCCCCGCATCAAGTCGACAAGATGCACCCCTCTCCCCAAATCTCCCCCACCCAAGTTCCTATCACTCCCCGAGCTTGCTGGGGTGAGGGATCCCCACCTGCCCCATCTGGGGTTGCCCGGTCTTGCTGTCTCGAGTGGCTGCCTTCTTGAGGTGCCCATGATCCCAACCCACCGAGGGGCCTGCGTTCCCTTGGCCCAGAGATTCTCGGAGTCCCTGCCTCACCACCCACCCAAGTCATCTTGGATCCCCCGCCTCGGCGTTCCATTTCTCCAACCCCCTAGTCTTTATAAACTAACCAGCCCCCTTCCCGCCCCTCCTTTCCCCCGGCTCTCTGCACTACTCTGCTTCCTTCGTCCACCCTCTCGGTGAAGCCCCTTCCACCTTTCTCAGGAGCCTCAAGCCAGCCCCACCCTACCCTTTCCCGGGCTCCCCTCCCGCCCCGTTTGCCTCCGGTTTCCTCTTCTCCGCATTCCCCTCCCGGGTTCTGTTCTCCTCCGCCCGGCGGAGGGCGCCCCAAGAATGCCGACAGGACACCCCTGGGTTCCCCTCCACCCCCGGGTTCCCGCACCGGAGATCCCCAACGTCGTGGTCCTGATTCCTCAGCTTTCCAGGCTCCGGCTCCGAGACTCCCCAACTTCGGGGTCCTGACCCGCCGCCTCGTCCTCGGGGTTGCGATTCTAGAAGCCCCCAACAGCCGGGCACTGACAACCCGCAACTGGGCTCTGGTTCCTCAAAATCGGGTTTCCGAACACCCCTCCGGTCTCGGGTTCTGAGGCTCCCCTACGTCGCGATCGTGCCATCTCCGCCCCGCGTGCTGTCGCCCCGGGGCTCCCCAATATCGCGATCCTGATCCCGCGCCCGACCCGCTCCGCGCCTCCAGCGACCGGACTCACTGTCAGAAGCAGCGGCTGAGTCAGTGCGCGCAGCCCAGCCCGGCCCAGTCCGCGCTCCCGCTCGGTTTCCAGATACTAGCTTCCCGCAGGCGGCTGTGACCCGGGCCCGCGCAGCGCTGGGGAGCGGCCTGGCGACGTAAGACAGATCTGGGAGGCTGTCCTGTTCAC